TCATTCGGTCGCGGAAAAGTGTGCATGATATTATGGTATCGACATAAACAAGCACGGACGCAATGGAATATTTTCGCGTAAAATAATTAATAATAGTCGTACTGTTTATCGTCCGATTTGTCCGTGGCTATTATGTGATTATACTATTACATTGTGTGTCTAAAACGACTAAAACGCTCGCTTGTGTGTGACACTATGAATAATATTGCAGCGCACGTCAATAATATTCTCACGCGARTTTTATCAAGTCCGACCCGCACGCAAAACACGCATGTGTATGTAATACTATGTATTTTAATATATTTTACGTGAAACCGACGACGACCTAGACTAGTTACTAGTGTCATATTATTATCGTCCCAATCTGTACTCTGCAAGATAGGTGCATAGTATACATAATGCGACATCATCCCCTCGAACTCTTTTCCACACAGCTGTTTCAGCAGTCTGTACGCACCGTTCCTGCAACAATGTCCATGTACAATGATCAATATTAATATACAATATATAGAGATGCTGCGATATAAAATAGACTATTGTAAATTTCCGATCAATATGTATATATTGCAGACATTTTAAATCAGTGTACTTCACACTGCTCAAAAACAAAAATAAATTATTATTAAACGAAAAATCAATATAATAATCATCTTTGTAATACCTTTAGTGCTAAATACAATTATATTATAATACATAATAGTAGAAACAAATATTGTCTTAATTTATAATGTTTATCTGGGATAGAATGAGTARAAAAATGCGTATTGTCCGCGAACTTTTGGCCACAGATTTAGATATTTTTGTACATAATACATGTTTATATATTATGTATGAATGTGTATTGTGTGTTTTATATAATAGACTATATTATTATAGAGTCAGGAAGAAATTCCGCTGCAGTAATATTATACTATAATTTTCTATGATTCATCGCATATGTAGTTGCATAACGATATAATAGRCACCTACTGCAAACGGTCGTCGGAGAAAAATTATTATTGTCGATAAAATATATTCGTACGTAAAGCATTACCATTGCTATTGTAACTTGTCGCTATGCATAACATTGCCCATGGATAATTTTTTTTTTTTTTGCTTTTATATGCCTAGTTATATTGGTGACGGCAATGTAGACAACGCTGCATTACTGTGCTTACCTACAATGGAATAAATAAAGCTTAATGTTTCCGTAATTTYACATAGTGCGTGGAGTACATAATAAAGATGTGGACAATTTTATGTTTAGGAATTAGGTGTATAATAGTACAATATAGTAAGTATCAATGTATTATATATATGCTCATAGGCTTTAAAACGTAATTCATAAATTAATATGGATCAAATTTTCAAAAAATAAACTTTAGATGTGTTGTATWTATAAACTGTTTGATTAGAGTGTCGATGATAATAATTATATGGACATGAAATTTAGGTATATAATTATTTTGTATTTGTAAACAACACTTTATTASGTTACAATAAAATATTGAATTATGAAAGTATTAAATTATTAAAACAGCATTTTCAAGCGTGGTATTTTCGTGCGGTTTAGTAGATAACAGGTGTTATTAATATTTAATAATAGTTTAATACTGTAAAAATATAAAATCACTCAAACAGACTAACTAC